CTAAATCCTTTGTTAACTTGTTAAATTTGAGGGGAAAATTGAAACTAAATGATGATGCCCACTGTGCTCCACCATACCCACTACATACAAGATTGTTTTAAGTGTCTTTGTTAGTACAGCTGTGGTTTATGTGTATACAAACTCACAGTCCGTTCCTTACATTATGACAAGCTACTCTCAAAAAGCCGGTGGACAGTATGAACAAATGCGGAGATCACTAAACTGTGCACTAGTATCAGGTGATATGTAAATATGTAGAAAAGACAATATTTCAAAATAAACATTTGATCACTAAGTGATAAAAATAAATTTATTTGCATACATAATAAATAACATTTTCCAGACATACCGGGTATTTTTATTTGTATTCCATTTTTACCACACGCATGTTTTTATATCTCCTGGTATTTACAACAAATATCAGGATTATACAGTCGTGACTCAAACCACTCCCGACCTATGACACACTATCTGTCTGACGACGAAAGAAGAATCACTCACCCTCCAAAATGTGAGCAGATCCTACACACACACACACAAACTAGCCCATCACTGACACCGTGCTTAAAACTGCCACGATGGTCTCTGTGCATACTTACTTACAATCTGTGTCGCATCATCATGATAACCTACACTCAAAATCTAAAGGGAAAGTACAAGCAAATGCTGAACTGGCGAAACTACGTACTGCTATCAGGTAACATGTACCATGTTGAAAGCACAATTTTTCAAAATGAACACTAGATGAGAAAAAAATAATTATATGCGAGATGATAAAATTTGTCCAGGTATTGTTTCTTGTATTCTATTTGAAACACACGTGTTTATATATTCCCTGGTATTTACAACTTACTAATATAAGGATTATACAGTCGCGACTAAAACTATTCAAGCCATATGACAAACTATCTGTCTAAAGAAGAAAGTAGTAGTGTTCACCACAAGCAGACCAAGGCAGAGTTGTAAGATACTTATTCTAACTCTCACATCATTATTGAGATCAGCGTTTCTGTTCAAATCTAATTCAATTACATTCATATTTATCAAAATGATTACATATAAAATTATAACAGTATGTTTAATGGACAATTGTGATGTTAGGAAATATATGTTCACGAGTTTAAACAGACTATTTAGTTGACAGTGTTTTTTGCTGCCATGATGGTTTCTGTGCATACTTACTAAGAGTCCGTTCCTCACAATTATGATAAGTTACACTCAAAAAGCAAGTGGATAAATGAACAAATGCTGAGCTCACGAAACTGGGCACTGATATCAGGTGATATGCAAATATGTAGAAACACCCACATGTTTTCACATCTCCTGGTATTTACAACAAATATAAGGATTATACAGTCGTGACTCAAACCGACCTAATACACATTCTCTGTCTAACGACGAAAGAAGAAGCATTCACCACAGCAGACCCAGATTGAATTGTAAGTGATATATTTCAATATTCACACCGTTATTAAGGTCGGTGTTCCTTTTCTACTCAGAATGAATCGTATTGTTACTTCTCAAAAGAATTGCATATAACATTAGTTAACAGTATACTGGATAAGAAACTTTAATTTAATGAAACTTATGTTCAAAGATTTAAACGATGTCTAGTTATGACGTTTCCCTCAATGTGAAACGTTCGTTGGTTTGTCAAATTCGGGGCAGATATTGAAACAAAATGATGACATCAATGATATCGCTGTGCTCTACTACCATCCGATCCAGGACTGTCCTTAAATTCTGGCTATCTTGAAGCGGGTTTTGTAAGATTTTTTTGTTGAGCTGCTGAAAATTGAATATATTAGCAATTTTTCTGTTTCTTATATATGTGAATCTGGAACATATTTATACATATCGGCTGTATGTGTGTAATTTGGTGCAATGTCTGTTCACATGAATTGAAACTACAGTCCATCATTGGCAACTCATTCATTTGTTTCCTATAAACTGGTATAAATATAATAACGTGGTTCATTATTCCCATTTAAATTATGGATGAAATGCTATCTCATGTACATTTATACATGGTAATGGAAACACGGTCCACTCAACTTTACCTCATAAACAAATAGTGTGACACAGTCGGTAATGATATTCGGGTTAATGTGGTAATGTGGTGGTTTCCGATATATGTATTACTTTGTTGAATTGGGGTCATGCATTTATTTAAGTAGTAGAAAATATACGCTTTTTTGTCCCGTGTGACAACATGAGATTATATTCTGTTGCTGACCAACGTCCGTCACATGCCCATCTATCGAACGCCTGCAACACCTGTCCAACATTTTGACTGTCGTATCCCACAGGACGTAAGATTATGTACAGGACAGTCACCATATGGCGATCAACATACTCCATTCCGAAAGCTCATTTCCCCTAACTAGCTCAACACTGACACACTGTTTTCGACTGTACAAATGTAACTAAATGACAATTCATCAGTAATTAGAGTAATACTACTTTTGGCTCGTCTCGTTTGCTCCGACTGAATCCGACAGTCCACTAACCTTCCATAGCGGTTTTTGTTCCGCATTTACTAGGAATGCAAAGCAAAGTGATCATTATTGTTCCAAAGAATTATCGTGCACTATGTCTTTGTGCTCAACATTGTTCGTTTGTGGAGAGTAAAGATTTGTCCTCCATTTTCAAAAAATGGGACATTTATTTGTACAGCAACAGAATGAATTCGAACCAACGATTATCATATTGCCAAGCTGTGTGGATAAATGTTCAACTGAATGGGCTAAGCAGGCGTCTTTTGGTTGAACGCAGTTCATTATGAACCGAGTCAGGCGCGATTTTTACAAGTCAAAAGTGAAATGCCGAGTATTATTCTTAAACAATAAAGGCGCTACATAACACACATACACTGTGACTACACACAACCCACAATGGGGCTTTCAAGACTTACGCAGCTATACAAATAAAGCAATTACTTATGGTGGATATTTGGTCAACTTCGCAACTAATCAGGTTCAGTATGAAATTAAGTTTGGCTTACCTTGGTTTAGGAAAATAATGTTCTTACAAATGTTGAATATTGTACTCTATTACAACATCAATTTTGGCTAATGTGCCACAGTTACTTGGGTGTTCTGCACAGATGAACGTCACACAATAATAAGACACACTCAGACAACACTAAATCCACTAGTATTGATATACAAGTGAAAACATGTTCCACTGCATCATGTATGCATATGAGTGGACACTGTTCTGTACACAAGTAGGAAAACGCATGTCCATTGTATACAGGTAGTGGGAACACATTCCTTTCACTCTGTATACATGTAACAAGGAGTAATGATGCAACCAGGTGCCTGGACGAGTTTGTGTAGTTATGTCATATTACAATTACAATTTTACACTTGCTACTACTTCAGTTGATTCTTATTTCATTTTTTTGATGACAGAAAGATGACTAGCTACCAAGCAGCATTGGTAATGTGCGTTGTGTTACTGATGGTTGTGGATATACAGGTAAGATGTTCATGTACGTTAATAATGTAAAAGCATTTAGAGTGATAATTGTTTGTATTGGCTCATCTGTAACATTATCTGTCATGACGCTGCTTATTAGATGATAATGCAAACACAAGAAAATAGTATCCTTTTTAATATCTACGAATTGTTATTACTTTACTCATTGCTGCTATGAGTAAAATAGCCCAGCTTTTTAAGTTTTTACACAGTTGTGTATTGAGAGTTCATTATGCACTATGTACTTTTTAATTATGACATCACCAAATTACTTGTGAACAATTACAGTTTATAGCTCTAGAATGTTATCCATTCAATGGAGTTGGGGATTGAATGGAAAGTATTATGGCAGTCATATTTTTCATTATTTTAATTACTTCATCTTTATCGTTTTTTGTGTTATGTATTATTTTGTATTGATCACGTGTCTCATTCTAGAGCTTGGAAAAATTAGGCAACGTTGGGGGGGGGGGATATTTCAAAAAGGCACGATCTATTGCCAGATTTTATTGTGAATTTTAGATTTTGTGACAACGGTTAAATTATGAATTCATGAATTAACAACAAACACTTTGTAATGTAAATGATTCTGTGCCCTTTTCCAGTGGTTACAATCATTATAGACATATTTTGGTATGTAGTTTTACATGAAATTCATTGAAATTATAGGTACTATTTAAATGATGTTATACAAACAAAATATAGTTCATGTAGTAAAGACATTATTCAACATCTGTCAATGAACATGCTTACCATATGATATGACTTTCACTGATGTACTGCCGATAGTTCACCACTTACCTCTTTTGGAATAAAACACAGCTGCAATGTCATGTACCTATTGTGTCCATCTTGAATGAAGGCTTGTTCTTAGTCCAAACTACTTCGACATCGCTCTCCATAGATGAAATGGCATACTTCTTGAATATTTAAACTTGATCTTTTATATGGTCACTCACACCTACTTATAATGACATTCAAATTACCTGAATCACCTGTATATTAATTATTAACTCTTGTGCCTGACTAATATCTTCTAACCACAAACAAAAGTCTCAAACCCCTCTTGAGATTCTTCCACATGTGGTATACTGGTGGATTCATTCATGGCTGAGATTCGTTTAATCTTGTTTTTACAGTTTATGATTAGTGCACATTTTTAGGCTTGTATTTTCAATTAACAGGTTCCCCGTAAAGCTTGAAACAATTTTAGCACAGACTTATATCTTGAGTGTTGCATACTTTGCAACATGCTTCATTTTAATGATAAGTTAGTGCAATTCATATTGGTTGTAGTTTTACATATTGATAATGATATTGTTGCCTGCACTTTTGTCATCAGGGAGTTGCATCTTAACATGTTTGTTATTCCTCAGGTGCTAACAAGTTAAGTTACCAGTCAGATGGGTTATCTTTTATCATTTTAGGACCAGACACATTGCTTTATTATGATTATTTTATCTTCATGTCGTAACCTCCATGTCTTTGTGCTCGATCCGATCTGCTATTAGCCTTCGTCACTTGGCATAAAATGTATGCCACTCTGACATATGTCACACTTGTTATTTTTCCGTGGCTTTTCTTTGGTTGCATGATTCGTATTTGCTTAAAATTATGGGAAACATTCCCTGAAGCATCATATTTACTTTTAACGTCACTGACTTGGCTTTGATGAGTAGCTCGATCGGATGGTTGAACTTTGTGTTCAGCCAAGTTTATGGTTAAACTCTTGTTTTCCACAGCTACAATGAACTATATGTATGCGTTGCTAGGTAGATTACGCATATACAAAATAATCACATCGCGTCTGTCGGTAATTCGGGAATTAAGAATTAATTAGGATATGTTTTGTTTGTTTTTATTCAGAGGCTAATTCTAATTTGCGACTTTCTTCAACAACAAACATCTAGACATATTTGACAGACTGAACCGTCTTCTAATATCTCAAGAAATGTATTCCTCTTTGAAACATTTACTTCTGATCATAACACACATTATTCATAAATAAAATATATAAAAATACTCATATTACACAGACTTTCTTTCACCTTTTATCTCTCATACCTTGTATTCATCATCACAATCTGATCATTGAATTGGCTAAACCAACAAAATACCAAAAAGTACAAAGTTGTGCTATCACGTTGTAATTTTTATTCTATGTTTGTAAATACTAACTAAGTGGAATGTTGCATGCGATGTACAAGTTAGTGTTGACTGATGAGTTCAAAGCTCACTTTAGTGCTTGTAACGTAATTTTATTGCAATACCTGCATGTCATTTGACTGTCATTTGACGTCACGATCGTTTATTTTGATTTTCACAGGTGAATATTTCAAGATTGTTTGGCTACGTAATTTATGGGTATCTTAAACTGCATAATTAAAAACGTTTCAAATATAGTTTAAGATGCAGTTAGGGTTTTAGTTTTGTTAAACGTTTTCTACAAATATGTCATTCTTTGTCTTAAATATACCGAGAGCAGGACAATATAAAGAACGCCGTACAAAGAAAATACGATTAAATGACAAATAAGTTTGGATTATATCTAGGTGGACATACCCTACATCACATCAGTTTAGTACTGTAATGAAAGGGAAAATACTCATCCAGACATCCCACCTGAACAATTATTATGTATACATGTAATGTGGTTTCTGTATGCAACACGTATTTAGTACTTGTAATTAAGAAAAACAACTCAAATATAATTGTAACATAATTCAGGAGTTTTGCAAGAGTCTTAAATTGTTATGACATATGTAGACAATATAATTGTAACAATGCACTTAATTTACTGCACATCCAATCTTATCTGATTGCCAGGGATGGTTTCTGTTCCCTCTATGTCCCCCATTGTTCTTACAATACATTGTTGATAGTAAATAGACAATGACTTTCATTTTTTTTTATTTATGTGAATCCAGGCTCAAGAGGATCCTGTACGAGGTTAGTATTTATCAAACCGTGAAACCCCCAACCATAATCCGCTTTTTGTATTACCTTGGTGTCTGCGTATAGTATCATGAGTATTTGATAGCTGATCAAAGACCTCTTAGAATAAAATAAACAAATAAACGTTTTCTGTTAATAAGCTCACCTATGCTCGATTAATATTTCCCGCCAATACACTAATTTAACATATATATGGCATTCAGAATTCATATATTCATATTGATTTTCCAGCCTCAACAAATAGATCATATCAAATCTAATTCTTGGTGCATTTGTAGAGGTAAATTGGGAAAAATTATTATATATATATATATTATATGGATCAACAAACGTCGTTTCGATAATGTGTCTAAACGATAATAAAATTAATAATTGTGATCTTTCATCAGTGTCACTAGTAAATTGTGATATTCTGCAATTATACACTTCCTCTAGTGAACACATCCCCAAAATGCATAGATGATAATGCACAAGTCGAACCATGGACATAATCAACACATGTTGTCGACAAATAAACTTAGTTACAATTGAGGACATATGAATCTGTCCACCAGCAGAAACAGCAACTAAGTCAAATTATTAAGTTATACATGCTAATAAACAGACAAATATTACAATATGAAACACAGGTATTAAGCCCACATTTGTGAGAATCGCCTCGCCACTCCAGAGAGATGCAACACGCACTGCGTCACAGTCGAAACACGCCAACGCAGTTCGAAATTGCATGTTGTGTAACCCTCCCACAGCGACTAGATGGTAATGTCACAATAACTGTGTACATGTTTAAGGCACTTTTTCGCGTACTACAACGACTTACTGTCCAAGAAGTAGCGCCCGGGACTGATTTTGAAAATGTGATTGATTCCTGATTTACAAAACAAAATGTTCTGCCTTGTTGACTACAACTGTGAAACTGCCTCTCATGCCGTATACATTGTTAAAACAAAGCATTAATCGTCCGTTCACAGTCTGATGCTGTATTTATATATATTTTCCAGAAAACCTTGCACTACAGGGAACTGCAACCCAGATTTCTACTGCTTTCCTTGGGAATGCTAGTTTGGCTATTGATGGGAATGATGATCCTAGTTACTT